GACGCGAACAAAAGACTGAAAGTGAGACTAAGTGGAAATCACAGTGGAGTGAGTGGCCGACATTAATTTTCAAACTGGTTGGTGTCCTCGCTAACGTATGGCTGATGCTATTCTCAATGTTCCACTTCATCATGAGAACTACTTGTATAACATTCTTGGCATAGTATGTTCCTCAGCAATATGTTCGCCTATGCTTACATCGCCCTGATGAACATGTTTGAATAATGAAAGCGACCCTGATTGATGTATAGTCTACAGTGAAGATCTGATGAATGTTTCTCAAATAAGCGCATGCATATGTGAAGTGTTCAATGAATTTGCTCACGAAATCGGCGTTATTACCCGACAACTTACGTCTACAACTACCGGTTATGTTAGTGGCGAAAGACAAATGAGGATGCACATTTAAGATTCATGTTGTAACTAACACATCTGAAATGCCGTTCTATTCACAGTTGAGTATTTCGCATACGAACATTTTGATTCTGTGAATGATCAAGTATATTTCGTGACTGGGACGATAATTCCACGTCATCTGTAGATCACTGAATCAAAGCATTTCAAATCATTACAGTTACAATCAGAGGCAATCCTTAGTGAAATGCCAGTTGAATTCACAACTAGATGGTAGGCGATATCAAGTGAGATGAATGAAATCGCCGATCAAAATCGATTTGTAAAATAATCTTCACAGATTCATTGTGGAATCAAGTGAAATGTCCATCACAACTCCGGTAATTGAATGGACATCATTCAGTTATCTCTGGTCAACTCTTCATTTCGTGTACCTTTCTTCAGTGATTCAGTCTAGTTGATGAGTGAAATCACTGAGTGATTGAGGAATGAGTCAGGAAGCACCACATATCAAGTGTCACAGTGACTTACAGATATACACAGATGAAGGTGTTAGTGGATATGTGAAACAGATTATTAATTTCTTCTGTTTGATTCAACCGATGTCGTATGCACGACAGAACTGATGTCACTTGAGGCTTCAGAGTCTTATATACACAAGCATGCCTCAAGTGTCATCGTCCTTCATTTCAGTCTTTCCGATTCGATATCTGTTTGTGCATAATCCCAAATGAGCTGATATGATGTGAGATGCATAACACATGGTGTCAAATTGGTTGATGGCTTCATAAGTGAATTTGTAAAATATTGTGACAATGTGATGTGCTGAGGAAGAAAGATGAAACACTCATGTCAAATATGCGTGACTTTTCCGATGCCGAAAATTTCTGTCAATTATAATAACCTTATTGGAATCCCTAAAAACCATTCATTCATTACTTAGCTGAGTTCACGAAGAAACTAATTTATATGTGATATACAGGATAGAGATATGTCGTCTTATATGTGAGTGATCTTCTACTTGGAATAGGTTTTGGGACCTGCACGATTACAGGTTAGAATCAACGATTTCCTTCAAACCCCATTCTGGCGTTTCCTGCACTAACTATTCGGAAACTCACTCAAGGATAGTGCGTTTTCTCAGCTGCACGTTTATCAGCGTTCAAGTTTCAATTCTAAAGTGGTCAATCTCTCAATCGCTTATATTCTCAGCAGTCTATTCAATTTGTAACGAATGCATGAGACTGCAGTGTGACGGAGTAATTGGTCAGAAGTTCCTACGTGAACAATCTAGTTGCGATAACTATCCTTATTCGGATATTCCAACTAACTTTGCAGTTGTTATCCACTCTTTTTCTTGATGATGCGTCATGGTTCTTACACTAGCATATCATGTGTTCACTTCATGCCTATTATTCGTCTTTCTCCTTGTTAGATCCCTTATCTGCATGCTTCTACTTGAGCTTGTACGATACACTGATAATATGTTGTTTGACTGTGTTACTTAGTTTTAGAGAATCGTGGGCATTCTGAGCTTGGACTGTGGCCGTGAATTGTTGGTGGGTGATTGTAGTGAACTAAATGCGGATTCCACGTTGTTGTGAATATTCTTCCTGATTCTCAGGTCCTCTGCACGGTTGAATGTCACCTTACTAATTCTGCCCTACACTACTTGTTTTGTACTTGAAATATCCTTTTCTTGATTAGCTGTCTATCGACACTTATGAGGTAATTTTGAGTTTTCCATGTTATTATTGTTGATGTTCAATACAACCACGTATATTATACGACTTATAGAAACCTTGTGACTGCCTATGTAGAGCTTTGTGACTGGGAATCTCTCGAGGAGGTTTTGAATAGCCAGATGGTGGGATGCATTAAATGGTTTCCTCTGTTCACACTCAAACTATTTGCCATTGCTCGTAACATACAGATTTATGGAAGCTCATTCTACAGACATTTCAGCGTATCTAGATATCACCCAGCGTGTCTTCATTCAGATGTATCTATTTGCTATCAGTGATGAGGAGCATAACTGTTATCACTAATAGCTTACATTCGCGGCTAACACTCATTCGATTCTAAATCGCGTGGAAACTTATTTTACGTGCTCTTGGTTCATTTGGTCCGTGCTATCCATGATTAATCACTCGAAAGACATTGACTCAATTTTGTTTCAATTGAGGTCAGTTACGCGTATAAGTCTCCGCGCTTTGCTTAGCCAGCAGATCTGATTTTATCTACCACAGGGTTCATGTTTGTGAATAACACAATTTGTGCCATGAAAACGCTCTCTACTCTCAGAAGCATCTGACGCACACTCTACTGAAGAGACTCAGTCTCCTGACAGCCACCTGATGACTCGTCTCAGATTACCATATTCTTGACGACGACAGCCCACCGCCAAATCCTTCACTGCCATTTCAAATATTAACCACACCCAATCACAACCAGCAGTTCAATATACGTTTGAATTCATGAAGAGAAATCGGTGTAGCAGATAATTGATTTACTTAATTTATTTAATTCAAAAGAAAATATTTACGAAAGTTTCTACAATCTACATGTATTGAGTAGTACGCCGACTTTGACATTCATCCTGGTTCTTCTCTTCACTTTCCTGTATGAGAATAAAATCAGTTAGCAGTACTTTTGAGTAATCAAGGAACACGTGTACTGGAGAGAAGGATGATTGTTGGTGAACTGTATGCTTATTCATGCAATCCGAGAATTCTGAGTATTTTCAATGAGTGACAGTTTCAATTCTCATTGTTTGTCTGAGTACATGAGTTGCTGTCTTTCAGTAATTCACTAAGACTCGTGTGGAATTCGCTGACTTGCTTGCATATCCTCAGTGACGCCTCTGAAGTGTGCATGTGTATTCTCATACAATCACGATACCGTCTATTTAGAACTGCCACGATATTATTCATTGTGGCATATCCGCATGGTAACTTACAACGCCACTGATGATGCTTTCATTATTCGGTTGAACAGGCGTATTCGAGACTGCAATTTGAACCCCTCACTCATTGACTTATATTCGTGCTGTATGGTGTGAGAAAAGTCGATGGTGAAAAATATTATCTAGCTGTTGCAGTGAATATCCGAATCCTGTGTTGTACTTTGCCCACTAATCATCCTCCAACCAGACTGTCTCACATCTCGTGTCTTGGAGATTCTTAGCTGCACTATATTAACACACCTTATCCTTGCATGTCAATTTCGTATGATTGAAGGCGAATTTCGATGCAAAATATATCTCACCTTTCAACATCTTCAATCTGGTTGTGAGTACCTCCTTGTTAACTAGAAATGATAAAGCACATTGGGAATTATCAGAGTTGACCAGTGAAAGGGATTGTTGTCTATCACTGAGTTCGTATGATAACTAATATAAGATCGACTGTGACTATTAATTTTGACAGAGAAAATGAACTCACAATATTCATAACTACACCAGTAGTTATTTAAGAATACTTCTTCGATTTCGGCTTTCAGTTGCTTTAGATCTGAAATAATTCATGAAAGAATACATCTTCCTGAGTGAATTTCTCAGAATCAAATTATGAGATTTGAACACAAAATTACGTGACTTGAAAATAACGTGACAATAATCTATTTCACTTCACAAACTCATCCACTTGCATGATGTTTACTTTGCACCATGTCCAAACGACAATCATCAGGTCATTATGTTATTATTGATTCAGTTTCACGTTCAGCAGATTGTCTTTCAGTGCGCGTTTCTACACATATTCACACCATCTGAACAATTTCATCAGTAGACGACTGACCACATCCCAAACACTAAAGTTGTTCATTCCCCTCCATAAATAAATTTTCGATTCTTCGAATATCCCCATCATAGACTATCTTACCATAAGAGGTGGATGTTCATGAACTCAAATCATGATGAAAGTATTGTGATATATGAAAATATACTCTCATCGTAGGTGTACATGAAAATGTTATTCATTATATCGTGAATGTAAAAAGGGAATAAGCGAATACCTTCTTGATTCACCGAAGCTAGATTTCCGTGACATTTGTCCACAGGGAACGCCTTTTGTTTTTCTATTTGTGGGTGAGTAATGGAAGAAAAACAGTTTTATTATGTGCAGACTTGAATTACAAAACTCGTTACTACACTCAGACGAAATAAATCGAACCGATAAGCGTAATAAAAGGCTACTCACCAAGATATGTTGACTCTTCTTGTAGGCAACAAAATATGATATTATCCAATGTTCCGTCATCAACTGTAAATAAATCAGTTTCACACATATAAATCCATTCCTATTGTTTTCAACATAATAGGTATAAAAATTGATGCATAGTTAACACAAACACAATCACAATTGAGGCGAATAAAATTTGTTTACTAGTCGACAGATTCTCAACGGGTATCCTAGATGAGAAATACAACATTCAAACATCTGTCGTCAATCACTTCCTCATGTTCATCGGTGCATGAGGAAATTCTCCACCTTTATTTGACGTTAGCATATGAAGTGCATGATTGAAATAACGATAGTTAACGCATGAATATAATCCAGGTGAAGGAAGATTGTTGGCCAGAATATTGACGAGAAATAATTATGATGGCAGATAAGTATATAAATGACTCAAAATATTTAGCTTACTCAGGTCGAGATATCCTGCGATCTCTAGAAAAGATAGAAAGACGTTGGAATGTTTAGTGGCTCTGATCATTTTAAAATTAACAACATTGCAAAGATTCATCACGCCGCAGTCGAATAGACGTGTATTATTGAAATGATCGCTGTGAGAGCATATCACCAACAGGGAGTGTATCAAGAAAGTGATTTCAGACCAATCAAATGGAAGCACAGTGTGTAGTGAATAAATTTCGCTAGTAAAATTATGTTTGAAGTGAAGAGAATTTCTTAGAACGCACCTTTATATGTGATTGCTCCCCACTTGTATTTGTATGCAGTTTTCACGCAGTCCGTATCTAAAATAGGTTGTCCATCATGTCAATAAAAACAGTTTTCTTACACTTTTCTAGTTCTCCTCGTAGGCTTGCATTTTGACTGAGAATCTTGTCTAGGAAACAGAAAAGCGAAAGGTTTGGAAGTTATGTCAATATATGCTACATACTAGATGACATGATTGATGTCATCGTTAGTGATAATTTCGAGAGAATAATTCGAAGCATATTTTCGTCAGCGTGAAAATATTATCAACAGTAAGGTTTAAGGTTATATATACCTGTTAAACTTTGTAATCTCGCTTCAGAATTTTTGAGGTCTGTAACATCATTTTTTAATTTTTCTGTGGGGAGAGGAGAATATTTTGAATGAATTATTATATGTGACGCAAGATGACTGAATGCAAATGGATAATACATATTGGAAATAGTTGCATTGAAGACGACTGAAGGAATTTCAGGTAAGCCAGTCATTCTTCACACTGTCTTTAATGATATTATATCAATTTTTGAGTCTTCAATGAAGATCATGACTAAAACGATCATTGTGAGACTTTCGTTATTCTCAAACAATTGCCATGACAAATTCTCAAGTAGATTTTTAACCTCAAATAATATGCACGTTATTCATTCTCACTTTCAATGTTCTTTATCCTATTTTCAATTTCAGCTGCATCCATCGGTTCGCCTGGAAATGAAATGAAGAATATTAAAAGACAATTATTATGCAGAGAAGCAGTTTCAGACGACTGAAAATAGTCAGAACAATTTCTTCACTTGAAATTTATCAGACTCCTCTAGAGGGCTTTATGTATGCCATTGCAGAGCAGAAGCACATCATCTCAAAATGTGTACTCGGCCAATATTTGTTACTTTTAGCCGAAAACCCTATCAGAATGAGAGAGCATATCCCTGTGCAATTATTTATATAGACAGTTTCTGAGTCAGAATAAGGAGGAGAGACGCCTCCACGAGTACTACTGCATTTACGGTGACCATCTATCAAACGAGATGAATTCGAGATGAAAGTATATGCGAAAGTGACTATTCCGAAGTAAAAACTCAACCAGGCAGAACGAACCGTGAGAGTGACTAGCGAAATATTCAACAGTTCTAGTGAATAAGGCAAACATTTCGTAAGGATTAAGCCACAAATATACCATCTTTTGAGAAAACGCTTACCTGAAATAGTGGCTGCGAATGCCAACAGAGTGACGAAAGCTACTTGGCTGTATGTGAAGTAGACCATCTTCTTATGGTAACTGACTTTCCGTTCCTGTATTTATACCACAACAAGCAGTCACAGTTATCGTTGTAATCTGATCATTGGTTGATTACAATAATCATAATTTCATCGTTCATTTGTGGAACAGTGTAGGTGAGTGTTCTGATTGGTGAGTTAAACAACGCCTCATGATGTCACGTGACTCACATAATGAATCAGCGGAATCTGATTGGTGCGATGAAATCCGTCAATCTGTAGAAACACTTTAATCTAAATAGTGAGCAGAACTCATGCGATGGCGTCCACATGAAGTTTGTGACACTTGAGCGTCATTTGAGAATACCATTTCATTTCAGTAGTACACAAAATGTTATGAATTTGTTCTTGTGATGCAATCCTTCCATAACTTCTTGCATTCACTTTTGGTGATTTCTTCCATTTTAGACAAGAAGGTGAAGTCTTCATGGACACAGTATTTGATTCAAATTTTATCGTCTCAGTCTGATTCAGCCATAAATGAATTGTGTCGTTCTCACCAAAGAGATTGAATGGACGCTGTAAAACTCCGTGTAGATGAAGTACCTTCGTAGAATGTTCTCGATGTACTTGAGTTGTCTGTGCTGCATGGTGTACTTGCGAGTGCTTCACAGCCTTACTAGGCTACATTTTCAGCGCTTACTCCAGTTCGTCGAAGTGAGCGTTGAAATTCCTCGACCAGTTTATCAGTCACGTGCCATTGTGACCGTGAATGTTGTGATTGTTTGCTCCTCTCTGTTTTCACATCGTCTATGCTACTTGCGATGGTACTGATTGGTACTGACTGTTTCTTTGACTTGAATTTTCACTTCCTGTGCATGAGATTTTCCTCTGATGGATTGGTAAGTTTTATCTGTGACAATGTGACTGTTATTTGCCGATTCACTTGAAAACCAGGCTTGTAATGCTTCTCTGGCGTAATTGGCGTTTCCTTCGCATAATATTTGAACATTGATTGTCCCCATCGAATTGATGTCCGTGGTTGACTGCATGCAGCGATATGTGATGGTGGATATCGTCGCGTCTTGTGACCGCTAGAGTTTGCTAGTGACCAGACATGACGCCCCATTTTGAACAACGTGGTGCTTATCTCAGTCGTTGCAACATAATTTGCAGATGATGTTGGTTTTGTCTCTCACTGTTGAGTCCTTCAGTCAACATAGAGCCAGCCGACTGCAGTGAGTTTTTGGTTTGTGTGTGTCATCAATTCCTAGACTAGACTGTGTGAAAACGTGAAAGAGCAAACAGTCACGACATTCACATACACTAGTTGGGCTGTCTGATAAACTAGTGGAGAAATTTCAAAGCCCACTTCGACAATTTGAAGAGTTGGATTGGAAAAGCTGCCTGGTGTGGCAATGAGAGCATCGCGAGTAGACGATTTTGGCTGAATGATTAACACAACTACATCAATGCCATTCCCGCGAGCTACAAATCTTTTCATATTGTATCTTGTAGAATTCCCTATTAGTTTGTTTATTAGGTATATCACACAGTGAAACAGTATTATTTACTGGATGACGTTTCGAACACATAAACTCGAAGGTTGAGGCAATTCAATTCACTTATGAATTGGAAAATCAGGAAGGGGAACTCCCAATGTTAGATTGCAACGTAAAGAGGAAAGAAGATGGGAAGTTAAACACTAGTGTTTACAGGAAACCCACACACTCAAACAGATATTTGGACTTCCAATCATCCCATCCTATGTCAGTAAAAGTAGGATTGGTGAAATGTTTAAATAACAGAGCACAAAAATTAAGTAGTACCAAAGAAAATCTAAACCAAGAACTGATACATATAAAAGAAGCCTTGAAACTTAATAATTACCCGGATAAATTAGTCAGGAAATATGTAAGGAAATGTAAAAATAAAATAAATAATGGTAATAGCGATAGTGATAATAACAATAATAATGATAATGATAATAGTGACAATAATAATAATATTGATAACGACACCAACAATAAAGAGTCTAAATCATCAGTAGTAATTCCATACAAAGAAGGAACCTCGGAAGCCTTACGCAGAATTCTAAACAAGGCTGGAATAAAAACGGCATTCAAACCCACAAACTCAATTAGAAACAAGCTTTGTCGGCTAAAGGATCCTGTAGAGCCTTTAAAACAAAGCAGTTTAATTTATCTAATACCCTGCAATGATTGTCAGGTCAAATACATAGGTCAAACTAGTAGAACAGGGGCAGTCAGACTAGCTGAACATAAAAACTTAGCAAAATCTAGATTGGTTGACCCGAATAAAATAAGTAATCTAGAGAATAGTTCAGCTATAGCACTACATGCAGTCACACACAACCATACAATAGGATGGGATAGGATGACAGTTTTAAAATCTAATGTCACAGGGTATAGGGAGAGATTGATAACAGAAGCTTTGTTTATCGAATCAACTGCAAATACATGTAATAGGAATGATTCATCACCTGTCCCCGATATCTGGAAAATTCTACTCCCCCTACGACAAATAGGAGAAAACAAAGAAAGCTATAAAACTCAAGTGTCAAAGTCGTGTGATCACAATTGATATGATTATGAACAATAAATTTTGTTCGAAATGTCATCCAGTAAATAATACTGTTTCACTGTGTGATATACCTAATAAACAAACTAATATGGAATTACTTACTACCACAGTGCCCAAGTTTTACACATATATTAATATATCTTGTAGAATGTCTAAAGTGTTGCTTTTCAATTAATTTAGAAGAATAAATCTCCTTAGAAGAAACATCTCTCTTAGTGCACATCATGATGATTTGGTTTTGTGGAATTGCTTTAATTCACACCACAGCTGTTGGATTCACTAGCATTAGTTGCAGATTTACTCTGGAGTAGTTGCATTCTCTCATATTATACAAAAGCTGCATTCATCATTTTGAGGCGAGGATCATTTTAGCTCATAAGCAATATAATCCACTGAAATTACACGTTATATCACTGATAAGGTTGTTCAGACGTCCATTTTCTAGCTTACTTAGAAAAAAATCAGCCAGAATTGGACCTAATGGGGAGCCCATTGCCACCCCGTCCACTTGCCTGTAAAGCGTGCCGTGAAATTTGAAGTCTACATTCATGGTACATCTTAATATCAATTCTTTTAGGACTTCAATATGGATTACAATGTTTATCGACTGCTTGTCCACTTGTTCACATATATAATTAACTGTTTCTATTAGAGGTACATTTGTGAATAACGATGTTATGTCCAGAGATATCATGGTTTTGTCCTTGATATTAATATCTTTTATTTTGTCTACGAATTCAAATACATCTTTTACGCTATATTTCACTATCTTCTCATGCAATAGTTTGAGAATATTTACTAACTATCTAGCTAGAGCATGGTAGGGCGAATTTCGCATATCAAGTATTGGTCTTAACGGTACCCCTGGTTTATGCACTTTAGGTAGGGCATACAATCTTGGCATATACGTGCCCGTTGGTCTGATTTCTTCACATAAACTTTCAGAAATTGTCTGCTCCTCCCTTAATTTCTTCAAACGTCTGGTTAATTCATTCTCTATTTTGTTATTGGAATCTTTCTTCTCCTCAAGTTTTTGAAACTTCTGTGTATCCTTCAATATATCCTTCATCTTTTTAATATAGTCATTTCTATCAAGAGGGACTACTTCTGACCCTTTATCTGGCTTTTTGATTATCAGTCTCTCATCATTTATCAGTCTTTTGAGTTCTTCTCTGTGTTCCTTTGTCAAGAAACTTTTACTGTCGCATTTGAGGTTTTTGTACTGATAACAACAATCCACTAGACTGGATTTGAAGCGTTCTAGTTCGAAGGTGGATGATAGAGCTAGATCCCTTATTTGACTAAATAGGTTTTCAAATTCAATATCAGTATCTAAGTGATTAACTCGTTTCGGTCTGTCACAAAACCGAAGGCCAAGTGAAAGTACTTCAAGTTGCACCTTATTTAATCTAACACTACTATAATTGTAGACGTACTTTTTAGGATCTGCTGGAAATTTACCAGCCTCTGGCTTCCTTTCAGGTCCTTTCATGAGCTCTATCTGCTTCTTCTGTGCTCTTCGTTCACTAACTTGGGTAACGCATTCCATGAAAGGCGTTCGAAGATCTCCTGGCACTTCATCTACCGCATATTGCCTGCGAGCGATATTCATTTCATTCTCTTGAATGAAAGTAGATAAAGAGTAGATAAAGTGTATAACTCGCGATTTCGAGTTTAACGGTATGGTGTACTTTGTGCATTGAAGATAACCACTACTTGTGCTTCGCCAATAATCTTTCTGGAGAGAAGTGAGTACTGATGAGATCGAGAACTCAGTTACAGTTATCATGCTTGAGAAGAAACGAGGGATAATGACAAATACATTTGAAGTGGTTCTCTGATAGGGAAATAAGAGAAGTTTGAATACACTGATTGGCAGGTTTGTTTGTGTTGCACTCATCGAAAAGAGCCATCAGCTTGCATCTACGACTCTTTTTCGTACTGCCAACTAACCAATTGCCTTTCAGAAACATTTTGGCATGGAACACTTCTGTCTACTTCAGATGATTGGCATTCACCGGTGGATCTGTGTCGCATTTCTGGATGAGTTGTGGATGGCGGTCAATTCAGGCGTCATCGGAAATCATCGGCCTTTTGTTCCTGTTACTTCCTTCACTGGCTATTCAGTTTCTCGTCACTTTCTTTCCTTGGTCGTATGTGTGCGATCTCTTTTCCGAAAGGAATTGGTTATCTGACATGATGTTTTGAAATTTCTTTTGCATACCACGTGTTCTTCTCTAGTTTTCAGTGTATAGTTCAATTGCCCTTTGTTTCTCGCAAAATTTTCCCACACATCATTATCCTGAAGTAGCTACTGCAGTTGAATCAGTGGACCAGAAAAACATCCATCAATTACGCTGCTAAGAAACTTCGTGAAATCTCAGATACTATAGAAGTGCGATGTGCTGCTCTTTGTTACCTCCAGTCGACTCAGAAATTTACTG